ATCTGCTGTTTGTGTGCTCCCTGTCTGTCACTGCCTCTCGCCTCTGCATTACAGTAACATATAATTATTCAGCACACTACTCTTCATATAACTTGAGCGCTTCAAAGAGACTGTCTGTTGGAGTGTGCAGGCAGCAGCAGTGGTGCATTGTGGGAGTTCCAGGTGGATTTCTCGATAATGAGTTCGCGCAGAGCTGGAGTGGTGAGTTTTTCGTAATGGCTGGATGTTGTGGGTTTAATGTAAAACAAACAGGGCCCCGCTGACAGCCTGGGACACATAGATACTGCCCTCTCCACTCGCACTGCAGGCTCCGGGTGAGAATACTCAAAGAAGGAAATATATTAATTAGGTGCCTGAACGATAATAAGCAGGAGTGGGATTTGCGACCCTTTAAGTCAATATCATGAAAAATATGTGCTGCTGCAGCTTTTGGACAAATGTTCGGTTCATTTCCGTATATTTGTAATGTGAAAACACCCATTTTAAGTCAAAAAGGCGTACGTTCGTGTTCCAGAAACAAGTTACAAGAAGCTCCAGACAAAAAATAGTAATTGTGAATTTGACAACAACTTATCCACTACATTTTCAACAGTTAACGGCAGAATTTGGAAGGTGAAAAACACTCCCTCCCCTCTCAAAGATGTTATTCCAATTAAAAAATAAATCATTGAATTCAAATTTAGGAACAATCCCAACAGTCCCCTTTCTTTTAAACCCAATTATCTCTAAATACAGTTTAGTTATAGACTGTAAACCAACAAATACAATACACTTTTACGCACATTTACAGGAATCAGCTCTTAAAATAGTCCCTGGTGCAGTTAAGGATGTGTGCTGTGAGGTGAACGTGTCCCAGCGCTGAGGACCTGAGGCGTCCTGCAGGCCTCCACACACACTCAGCCCATGTTTAATACATAACACACAATACATGCCTCCCAAGAGTCACTTTACTGCTGACATCCTCTACTCTACATTGCAGCTGTTGGAACTTTTATGGGGAAGGCTCTGCCACCTGCTGTTGTTCATATGTCATTGCCTTAATTGTTTGAGCATATGCATTATAACACGCCATCTCTATAAAGGCAAGCATGTTGTGGACAAATCACTGGAGTGGCATACTATATTTTTCAAGGCTCAGGAGTGTCTGGCATCCTTCGAAATGAATGTCCAAGGGATTCTGGAAACTTAGATATTACACCTATGGATATAAATGTTGTTGATCATGGAAATAGAAATTAAGGAAAACCAATTCTTAAGCATTTGAAAGGACTTAAAGCGCAGACTAAGTGCAATCATAATGCTTTTTCCTAGACATAAGTATGATGCATTAATGTTTTTTACAGTGCATTGGAATGGGCAGAAATTCTAGGTACAGACCCACTTAAACCAATCACCAGCCGCCTGCACTTAGACGTACTCCTCCATAGACACACACGCTGGCAAACATCCAAAGTGAAGTCCTATCTGTGCACAGGCAGCCATAAAGGTAGTCGGCAACGGTGAAACGTGAGCCAAAATATATTCTCCCAGCATATGTGTATTGAGATATTCACTGTTTTCCATAAGTAACAGAGAGCAATGAACCAGCCTGCAGATATACCCAACCCTAGTGACAGAAGCAAAAGTTAGTCCAGACTAGAGCTACTTTAGTTTGCCGTTAACATGATAAACACGATTCCCCTGCAACTTTGCGGCAAAAATTCAATTTCAAATTTGACAAAGATTTGATATTTTTACAGAATGAGGATGGACATTCAATTTCAATGTCACCTCCGGAGGGTGCACACATATGCAGATAGGAATATTTAAAAGAAGCCGGGGAGGGGAGAGTGAAAGGGGCAATGTAGTCACACTCCGGACAGCGACGCAAGACTCCCAAGTGTTCAAAATCATCAAAAGCGTGACTGCTTTCTGAAGCTAAAAAAGTCAGCAAGAAGGAAAAATGTGGAGCAATTTTTGAGTCTTGCATTCACCTAACCGGGTTAACCCAAAGAAATGAAGACCTGTGGAACGCTAGATGAATCCCAATGCGGGTTTCAAAAAGCAAAACGTCACATCAGAGGGATCATATTAATCATCAGCTCTATTTGATTGTACTTGACCTGCAACAGTATAGGGGTGGGCAAAATATATCGTAGACAATAATATTGTGAAAGTCAATTTGAAGATATGCTTTTTTGTGTTATCGTCCTTTTTCTTTTTACATACATATTACAATTAGAGAAGGACAGATGCCCATTTGGTCTAATGTGTGCCTAAAAAGCCAATCACTGCTTTATTTGTACATTTCAGTAAATATTGAGCTAGCCTTTTTGGATGTGTTCTTTCTGTGCTACTTGAATTTGATTTTAATGTTAATATATGTTAGCGCATGTTTTGCAAAGAAGTGTGAAGCATTTTAGAAAATAAAAAGCTTCTATTTTGATCTACACTGTCTCTATAGATGCCCTGGCAGCAAAACATTGCAGCTCATTGTGTGTAAAAATGATGGAGTTTAAAGATATCGTGATAATATTGTTGTCGGGAGTTGGGAAAAAAACATCAAGATATTTATTTTTGTCCATATCGCCCACCTCTACTACAGCAGATACAATATTGTTACTTTAGCTAAAAAGTTGCTAACACTTAGACAGATTGGCAACAAAACGCACAATAGATATGATGCATGACGTAACCATACTTTTCCTTCAATTCGTGATTCAAATTAATTGGTCCCCATCCCACTGTTTGGGAAAGACACGATTGCGTATGGATTAATAGCTGAGTTACAAACAGTTAGATTAGAACCATAATGAACGCTTCAACAATAGTCTTCTGAATGAGAGGTTTACAAGCTGCATTTAGTGTCGACTTGGAGTTAAATTAATTCTTTGGATTCAGAGAGCTCTGTTACATTATCGCCTCCATCAGATGATTCTTGCCGAGGATTTGCACTAATAACAAACTCGCAGCACAACACCCCGGCTCTCGAGTGGGGACGTGAACTGAAGTTATTGTATTTAATTTAATAAGGCCATGGAGAAAGTGCCAACAAAAGCCTGTGTCAGTGAGAGACAGCGGAGGTGATGGGGGTGTGCGATGCTATCTGGATGATACATGTACGGAAGTAACTCAACAAAACCTAGAAAAATCCTGTTATTGCTCTATTTTTGTTTCATGTACTCTCACACAAAAGACCCCAAAGATTAAGAGATTCTAAAAGTGGAAGTGCGTAATCTGCTTTAACGGCTTATCAAAACTTTAATGATTTGGTGATAAAGAGCACAAAGTTAAGTAGCCGGGTAAGAGGATCACTCCCCAGTGCAGTGGAGTGATTAGTACATGGGAATTGGGAGAGCAAAAATACGGGTTCTTCTTGGTTTTCTCCTTCTTTCTATTTTCTTTTTTTCCCCCTGAATCCTCTCCTCTGCCACTTATTCACTTTGAGGTAGAAGCAGTTCATTTTAAAGAGTGGGATTTTGCCAGGATACTGATGACTAAACAGTGATAATTCTAGGGGACTCTTTCTATCAATCATCAGAAAACAAATCAAATCTATTTGTCAAAAAAAAGTGTATTGAAAAAAACATATATTTTTGCATTAATAACGCAAAGCAGTGGACTAAAGCATGAATCTAATCATAAAATAACTGTAAAACTGTTTTCTTAATTTTTCTTAAATACATATCTATTCATTCGTTCATTCATTCATTCATTCATTCATTCTCAACCCCTTTATTAGTCCATTTCTGGGTCGGGGGGATGACAGAGCTGCCACCCATTGCTCATAGCACCACTATCAATTATCAATTCATTTTTGATATACTTTTTATCAGTCCTCAATCTTTTTTACAGTTCCAGGGCTCCACCTTAAGTGAATTTCCAAATAATTTCCAAATAATGATCTTATATATGCTCATAGATAAGCTTTTTTAATACATTTTACCGCTTTTTAAGTTTTATTTTTTGATTGCATGAATGTTTTAATGGATTTTATTGTAAAGCACTTTGGTCGCCTTGAGTGTTGTAAAGGGCTCTATGAATAAACATTTTGTTGTTGTTAATGATCAGTATTTGTCAGCGCACAAAAATGAGTCCAAACTTACACACAACGCCCTGCCTTCACCTCTTTAGCAGATCTAGAGGTTTCTAAATAAGGCACAAAGATGCAAATCTGGGTCAAATCAGAGTAATGTTTTGTATTTCAAAATAATCCTAGAGCCAAACTGGTATTTTAGTCCATAGTTGTGTGAAAAGAAAAGAACAAAGTTTCCAGTAAGTCACTTCCAGAATCTGTAGTTAAAACATATGATGGAAAATGGAGGCGCCTGCTCATGCTGCGTGCCCTATCTGCTGTGAGATAGGGATTCACTTAGGAGAAAAAAGGGAATTAATTACCTTGTGAAATCTAAAGACCATTAACTTAGTATGTCAAGTGATGTTTCTCAGTTTCTAATCACACTTTTAGTGATATAAATTACTGAGCGATGAGAACAACAGATTAAAGGAGAGGCTCTCTGTGTGCTAAGTGTGCGCATGTGTGACTTTGAGAAGAAAAAGTTACAGAGACAAAAGGGAACAGGAGGATGGAGCAGTGTCTTTATGCACGCGCCGTCCAGGGCAGCTTTGCCATAACAGGACTGTGTGTGTGTCTGTGTTTCTGTGTGTATGAGAGTGTGTATATGTGAGTATACAGTAAGTCCAAGCATGTTTGTGTGCGCATGTGTGTTTGAGAGTGCAAGTGTGGCAAGCCTGTGTGTGTTTGTATGAAAGCATGTGTGTGAATGTGATTGTGTGTCAAGTGTGTGTGTGTGATTGTGTGAGTGCATGTATGTGCAGGTTTGTGATTGTGTTTGTGTGTTTGCAAGGCTGTGTGTAAGCTTATTTGTGTAATTGTGTGCATGTTTATGTGAATTTGTGTATAAGCGTGTGTGTGAGACTGTGCGTTTGTGTGCATGTCTGCGTGTGTGTGCTGGTGTGAGTGCGTGTTTGTGTGCGAGCCTATTTGTGTGAGTGCTTACCTTTGCTGTACACCACACAGTTGTTTTTGTTGTCTTCTGCTCCCTGCCAAGTCACATCCAGCAGCCACCTGGGGCCGGCGCTCAGCACCACCGGGACCGTGCTCTTGGTCTTCTGCAGCAGGACAGATAACACGCACTAATCAGTGGCTTTTTTAGTGATTAAAGCGGAATTAATAAGACACAGTTATGCTCTGAATGGCCATAAACACAATTTTCAGAAAGTGTTAAGCATGCCACAATCCTTTTGAGAGGATTTAGCACAAATTCCTCTGTGCTTCATTGTCAGTGAAGTGGTGACCAGTGCAGGAGCCGATATATGTAAGAACAACTTATCATGAAGAATTTAACCCTGAGATTACAATCCCCAGTGTCTGGGAATTGCAAAAGAAAAGGAGAAAGAACAAGGTAAAAAGGCTGTGACTTTGAGAGAGAAGGAAGTGGGCGCTCAGCAATGAACTTTGGGTACATTGTGCCTCACTATCGCCATGATCTTACTATTTCCTGAAACAAGCAGGGAAGAATTTAAAGAATCAGTATCCATTTCAAAGGGCGATTGAGGTTAGAGTTTTTATAATATGCCGGAAAATTATTCTGAATGTGTAAGGTCATTTTTCTTCTTGGTCAGAGGTCAAACGTAGAGTTTTATTTCTTGCACAGAAAAAAATCCGAGAGGTAGATAGAGTGCAACAACCCCCTCATTGCAGAATCACATGGCGCAGTGTCACCAGATTGGCTGGCTCTATTTATCCTCATGCAATTTTGTTTTTACACAATGCTGTTTGTTTTTAAAGGCCAGACTGCGTTGCACTAGTGAAATGGTGCTGAGGGGGTGGGAGACACATCTCGGACTGTGGCTCCAGTCGCTTATTACTCAAAGGCAGAATGTCAGTTTTTCAAGGCCATTACTTTTGAACCCCTGGGCCTTCCTTCATTAGACAGCTACCGAAATAGTTTAGCTAAAGGAAAATGGGCAGGGGTGCAACTCGACTCTTCATTTCTTTTTCCGTCTGAGGCACAAATGGACAGGACACTGTCCATCTGCCTAATATGCCAGAAAAAAATACCAGTCCTCTCTGTGCCTTCCACTGCGCTCTCCCCCGCAAAAGGCAACAACCTTCAAGGATAAATGCAAATGTCACTTGAGCATGTTAGAGGTCTGAATTGGCACAGATATGCACAAGAGATGAGCACTGTGCACCGCATGCCCCCTCCTCCTCTGTATCCTCCACTATTTCTCACATGAACTCTATCTTCTCACAAGCTACAGACAAACTCATTTTCCAGCATTATTTAGAAACAGCAAGTATGTGTGTTAGATAAGATAGGAATCTGCTGTGGATTTGTTGGCAACACTAAAAACACGAATATTCAAAATAAAGATTACTACATACACTATATATACATCCGAGCGCAGTGGCATTGCTCCCAGCCAAAGTGATCAAACACAGACAGTAAATTGTGTCTGTTGATATTCTTATTCCTTCTGCTGGCATCGCCTTATCCTGCGCTGGCAGCGGATGAGAGAGAGAAGACCTCTGTAATTTAAGTCATCCTCCATTTCACATTTCAAATTAGCCTCACAATAAAGTCTTCTATCTGGCTAACCTGGAAATCTCACAGCCCTGTCAAAGGAGCAGCGCAGACTGGCCGATTGTTGCCTGGACGACAATCTGAAATGGGAATCAGATTAACCCTTTCTTAGATCTCCAGACGGGAACCATCTCTTATTCAGAGCTATAGAGGCCTCTTCGTTGCCCCTCCGAGCCGCTGGGAATTCGCCATATTCCAGATGCTCCTAATGGGGCCAACAGGGACTAAACACTGCATTAACTAGACACTTCTCCAGTGTTTCAAATCACTATGTATTTGTTTCACATGATATCGTGGCAGCATTTTAAGGTTATAACTAATATGCACTCCTTATGATTTGCATCCAATTTCTCTAAGCCTTTTCTATTCAATGCTAACTGTGCAATAGCAACAGCCAAGCACAATGTCAGAGCATAGATTTACATAATGCATATATATTGACAATAGTGGCCTAAGTGCGATGTAAGCATGCAGCATGTTGCAACCACAAAGACAAAGACGTGCGGAGAAGCCAGTGCACGCGACACAGAGGGGGATTAGGGCGAAGGCGCGGGCCCAGGGAAGAATGGCTGCTAAATGCAAATGAAAACATTTGTAGGAGCAGATCAGCTGGTCTAAGTGTCCGGGCCAGGGAACGGAGACTGACAAAATGATTGCTTCCCTACAGCAAGTGGACAATGTGATCAGCTGGGTTTACAGACACAGCTTTACAAGGAACTAAAGCAGTGACTATATGAGCTGATTTGAGGCATTTTAGAGGAGGGATGTCAAACCTGAAATAGTACAATATGTGTTTATTCAGACAGAATGAAAATCTAACTTGTATAACAACCTGTATAACAAGCAAAATGTATGTATGTATATATGTATGTTTGTATGTACAGTATGTATATGTATGTATGTATGTATGTATGCGTGTGTGTGTTGTATTTATTTGTACAGCAAGTTATTGTGAAATGGGCTTTGAAGAGTAGATTTTTGTTGTTGAAAAAACTGTATATTAAATTGAATTGAATGTGAAATATGTACAATATAACGGTCAATAATGTATCTACTTTAGTTGTTACACAAATCTTCCCAAATATGTAGACATTAACAGTTGTTATATTGCTTACAAGCTATCTTTTCTTTCATGATCAAAGTAAGACAGTCTTTACAATACAGAGTGAACCCGAATTATTTGAATTATTTTTATGCTTATATAGTTCTGCTGGATTCATAATGAAGTAGCACAGTTCTGAAAGATTACATATTGACTATAAATCTATATCTACTAAAAAATATATATATATATCTGGCAAGGTAAGTTATGTACATGTCTCAAAGGCACAATATTGAGAGACATAGTTCCTCTCATAGTTCCGCAAAGTCAGAGGATTCATTTCAGTTTGAAAAAGCAAAGAATCATGTCTTTTTAAACAATATATGTAAAGTTCCGGTTTGCCCTGTGTATCTGTATATCTGACATGTTTATATCTTTAATACACACAACATATATATTCATTGTACATAAGAGATGTATCTAGAAACGAGGCTATATTTGTGAAGTTCATATAGAGTATTTAGTATCAGTTACACAGTATTATCCCTGTCAGAGGCAGCAGAGCCCCTGGCCCTGCTCCTGTGTAATGTGCTCCGCTTTATCCTCCCGTGCCTTCACTCCACTGGTGCAATACTAAACTACTATTTTCTCTCTCCCTCCATTGCGTTGGTGTAGCGTGTAAGAGATACAGTGACCGAAACAGTGTAGTCAGCGAGGAAGTGATTACAAACTGATGCTCCAAATTCGCCATAAAATGAAAATCAATATTTCCACAAGTTGCTGCAACATAAAAGATAACCTTCATTGATTTTTCTAGACTTAGACCTCTGTGATAAAATCTAATATAAATTTTCAGCCACACGGATTTGGATCAGAGCGGCACAGGGGCTCAACGATAAGTGAGTGCACATCTCTCACACTTGGATTTTTTCCTCTGCCTTTTCCCTCTTTCAAGGCTGGGCTGTACTATTTATAATTGGCCCGGTGCGAGCAAAAGCTTCTATCAGGAATCTGTTCTAATTTTTATTACTGAGGAGCTAAAGCCTGTTCCAGATAATTTGGAAATTTCAGGGGAATTGTGATAGAGCTGATGGCACAGCCGGACCGACTCCAGAAAAGGGCTAACCTGTAATAGCCTCTGTGGCTGCGCTGATTAAATGTTGCCATAGATGAAAGACCTGCCATCACCGCAATAAATTAACCAATCACACAAATCCCAAGTCGCTACTAATCCCTCCTTGATACCATGATCCTCTGATCAGCTGAAGGAGGTGAAGAAGAAAGTGGCTTGTGACACTCCGCTTCAGCTAACTCCCAGCTTCTGTGTAAACAACAGCTAATGATATCACCACTGACCATTTCAGCTCCAGTGGACACTCTTAACCTGCTCACGGTCAGCCAGGTGAGAGACCTGCTGCCTATGATTATTTTCCTCTTCGATTTCCTACTCTCCCCCACCAAGGTCACTGACTGGCACTGTATCCATCCTGATCCCCAGCTGCAGGATTTAGACAACTGAGAGATCAAAACCACTCCGCCTGAATATCACCAGACACTGGTTTCATGAGGCTTCCAACTCCCAATGACGAGGGGGATAAATGTGCACAAGCCACGGAGAAACAAAACCAACATTATCTTTGCATTGACTTCAACATTTAACTGAGTGGAAACCATGCAAAAAACATAAATCAACATCCATTCCGGAGCTACATTCTCGGACATGGGACATCAGGTGGTTTGAACGACCCCTGACTCTCATTCGCACAAGTCACTTTATGTTCAAACAGGTGAACAAGCGTTACTATTTAAGGATGTTAAACATATCCAGAGCGACTGTTGGAATGAGAACGGAGAACAATGCTAACAATACTAACCAGATGTAGTGGACGGGGTGCCAAAGGAACCACTACACCCATTGGTGAGGCCAAGGAAACAAAATGTTGTGCTCCATGGGTGAGGGAAGAAGCCAAAAAGTGTGAGCTCTTCTTTCTTAGTTACGAAAGAGAGAGTTAAGTTGGTTGTTACTCAAAGAATGCAAGAAAAGTTAAGCCGACTTTTGGTTTCGCAATGGGGGTATATGAATGTAACCTGGCAAGAGCCAGATTGATGATTGAGTAGAACTCTAATGCGTTCTCCACAATATCAATCTGGGACGTCTGCAGGAGAATTGTTTCGGGGAAAGGAGGGATAAGCAGCAGAATACTTCAAGCTGATTGGGCGAAGTGACGCTGTGTGCCCGCCTACCAAGGTTTGACTTAAACCAATCCCGGTAACATTATGTCGTCATCGGCGTGCACAAAGCGCCTCTCGCTGTTCATCTTTCAAAAAAGAAATGAGAGATTCTGCTAAAACTGACTTGATAGCCTCAGCTACGCGTCCGTCCTCCTGCGTAGCCATGTTTATTTTGCTTCGGCCCGGCACTTCTTGCTTTCGTCAAACCCTGATATCCCGCCCTAAACCCCCAGACTGGCGCGTGATTG